GGGTGGCACCGCCCGGTCAGGCCCAGGGCAGGGCCGGCCCCAGAGCCCGAGGGAGCAGCGCAGGGCTGCGGCGCTAATGCACTGAGCTGGGCTGCTACCAGTCACCTGGCAGGAGCAAGCTCAGGGAGCGGCGGGGCAGGGCACAGCGAAGCTGGTGCATGCCCGGGGCAGCTCTGCAGTTCTCCGTGGGGCAGGGAGCAGCGGGCGCTCAGGACCTACCTCCAGGGCAGACGGCAGCAGTATGTCCACCGGTGCTGCCTGCACTCGCACTCTGCACTGGTCGAGCTCCTCCAGCTCCTCCCCGTAGCTCAGCTCCACCATGTGCTCCTTCACCTCTATGATCCTCTGGGCCACTGCAAGCAGGGAGAGCCCACAGCACAGGGGATCAACTGCCTGCTTCGAGCGCGCTGCAGGACAGGGCTCGGGGCAACTAATGCTTTGAGGGGGGTCATAACCCCACACAATGCTAGCAGAGGGGGCAGAGCTCTGAGCCCGGGCCCAGGGAGGGGATGCAGGGCAGGCCCCAAAGCCGATCGACCAGGACACCTGGCTGTGGCAGTGCTCTTCTCGCTCTTACCCTCTGCCTTCTCAAAGGTGATGAGAGCTGAGCCCCCTGGCAGAGGGTAGCGGATCAGTGGGGTGAGCATCAGCTTGTTCATGTCCTCCTTGTTTGTCACAAGTCCCTTAAACACCATTTTCTTCTCTGGCAAGGCAGGCAGCATCTAGGTTCAAGTACAGAGACAGCACCTGGAGGAGACTGGGCCCTGCACAGGACCCGGCCCTACGAACCCACAGACTAGAAACAAGCTCATGGTTCAAAATAAACAGCTGGAGAGCCTCAGCAGAGTCTCTCCTAGGGTCTGGCTACGCCTGGAGTCCCAAAGCCACGACTGGAGCTCTGGCAGAGGAGCCACCTGCTAGCAGGAGTGTGCAGTTGGCGCACAATGCCCAGCTGCATTCACCTGCAGCTTCTCCAGCCAGGCTCACGCCCCTTACCAGCAGACCCGAGTGCCCACACACACTCCGTTACCGTCACCGGATCCTCCCAGAGGGCCCTCTTCCTCACTTCTTCCAGTTTCTTTTTCAGCACCTGCTTCTCCTGCCTCAGTCTGTTATTCTCTTCCTTTGCTGAAAAAATGCCCATCTGGAAGGAAAGAAAGAGGGGGCAGCAAGGGAACCACTAGGACATGAGGGGCTGCAGCACGCTCTCCATTTTAAGCACAGCACTGTTCCTGGACACGGCTCCACCCACACCATTTTTCTGCTCTTGACTGCCTGCAGCCCTGTCCTGGCTCCTCGCATTTGATTACAGCCCTTCCTCCCCACCGCCGCAGCACCAGCTCACTTCTCGGCACAGGCCTGATGTGACGTCCCGTGAAACCTCCACTGGGTCCAGAGCAAAGTATCTCAGAGCAGTGAGCTGAGTGATGCAGCCCCACCACCCACCGCCACCGTTCCAAGCCCGAGGCAGCTCCTCCCAGCACCAACCTGGCAGGATCTCTCTTCATCTCTGTTTAAACACATTTGTTGCTCAAGGTTTTTATGAAGAAGTTCTCCCTCTCTCCTCAGCTCTTGTGTCCTTTGCTCTACAGCTTCCTTTGCCATTTGTAGCTCCTCATGGTCTTGCTCCAGAGCACTACAAAGTTCCTGTGAGAGGTACCATCAGACAGCGAGACCCCGCAGACATTGTGCCACCCCCGCTGGCTGTCCAGCCCCAGCACGTGCTGCTCGTTTGGGGAGGACACGGGCTGCCCCAGCGCGGAGCCCCAGGCCCCAGCACAGGCTCTCTTAACCGTGGGATACCCCCTCTCCACACTCTGGCTCGTAGTCCAAGAAACAGTAAGAAACTCACAGCCCAGGAAGCAGTAAGGGACTCA